CCCGTGGCAGCCGACAGTCCGTTCATTATGGAGGCACTGCAGGTGTGTATATGTTAAAGTGCTACATGTTCGTTGTTCGGTATGCTGTTTAAATATGTTGAAATTGTTAATGAATTGCTAACAGAATTTTCTTTAACGTTGCTGTGGTATTCAAGCTTGTCTCTTAATTGTTCTCGTTCGTCATCTATGGGATGGGACCGGCGGTATAACGGTAATAGTTTGTCTTCGATCTCTGGAGGTATCGCGTTCTAGTCCTGAAAAATAGAACATTTTCGCACTGATTGCTATGAGCAAGGAATTCCTACTACTATTTAGGCGCAGCCAACACAGGAACGGGTACCAAATATTTGACTTGTGAACAATAATAACAACATGGTGTTTTAATTTAGACGAGAGGTACAGCTGTGTTGTCCGATGTGAACGTTTCTTATGGCTGGAATCCGGTTTGACAAGCCTAATATCTGACTATTCAGTGTGATGATCAGCACATGGTGTAATTCGTGTAGTTGGTAATGTCGTATGAATTGTGTGCTTCATTTTTTGCCTTTGAATTTTTTTCATGTGGAGCAGTTAATGTACTAGCCACAAAATGACGTCTGACGTCTCTGCCGCAAAGAAATCTTTGGCTTCGTTGTTCTCCTTCACATTCCTGGCATGACAAGACCTTAGTATGCTGCCGCGGCATCACCGCAGACGTCATTGTTTGTAATGAACGTTTAAGAATTCCTGCACCTTCTGTTATCGCGTTTCCGAGATGTTAGGTGTCCTTCCATTGTTATACGTGCTTTCGTGATCACTCATGATCTGTTGAGTAAATTGTTCTCCCTCTTTTGATATCTGAGTATCGCACTTAATGTTTTTTAGCGTCTTTGCCCAATTTTTTGGGACAAGAATCACGCTATTAGGTGCAGATCAGTTTTGAGTCGCCTTCAGAATAAGTGATTATTTTTAGGGTTAATCTTGGTCTCCCTTGCTCACTATATTCTTTTCCAGAATGTGTTGATTAAATATTGTGCTAGCGTAGGATTACGAATAGCAAGCAATTGCAGTTCACTGTTTGACCTATATTGTTCAACTTTATTGTTCCGCTCCTCAGAGTGTTGCAAACTCATTGCTTGGTTTAATGTGACCAGTTAAGCGTATGTAAACGCTATATTGCTTTCGTGCATGTGACTCATATCTCCTCTTTTCGACTAATACGGTTTGGAGCATATCTTGGGAATCACGTTTTATTTAACTAAAATATTTTCTGTAAGAATCAAGCAGATTGCACAATGTTGGATTTGGCTTCATGCGTTTCACTTTGCGAAAAAGCCATCTGTGTTGGCTTATCCTTTTCGAATCTCTTATGCTGTTTCTTCTGCGTTCGACGTAATTTTCTGTCGTGTTTCCTCTCATCTACTGACATAGCTTGATTTCTGCTTGTTCAGTCCCGGCGATTCTGAGCTGGCTACGAAACATTCTGCTGGCGAACTTGAAAAGTGATGACATTTCTTTCGATTGTGAGAGAAGAAGCACTGAGCTTTCTGTTTGTCCCAGACTGAGGAACACTGAGGTTCTCTATACTCAATCTTTTCTTATTAGACTCGTCGCCGAAGATTAGATCTGGCTTGCTGTCTGTCTGGCTACAAAAATCGTAGGCATACTTCAGGCAGTGGCAATGACCAGTGGCTCATCGCAAAATCGATTAGACTATTAATCATTCCAGTTAGTAGCAAAAAATGTGATAATTTTAATTAAACTTTAAACCACTCTAAAACTGTTAACTGTTCTTTTAATTAAACATTTTCGCCTTTGTAATTTTGAACGCAAACGTTTATTCCCTATGCATCATTTAGGTATTGTGGAAAGACAGGTACAAAGAAATGAGTCGTGTCGAGAAAGTAAGAGCAAATTCTCGATACATAAGCGCGTTTCTATAATACGTATTTCAGAAAAACGAAGAGTTCGTTGCTAAGACGTTCAAACAGTGGTTTATGGACGTAGGTTTCGCTCTTTTGGCATGCAGGTTGATGCACGACGGACAGACAGGTGCCAGATGCTTGATCAAGCTAACATATGCTTTGCAGCCAAGTGGTCTTTCAGATCTGAAACAAGGCAAAGCGCTGGTTGAGTCATTCATCATGCATTACAGGAAAGAAATGTCGTCGATGAACTGGGTGGCCAAGCAAGAATGTCTTCCCCTCGATGTTAATCATCTTATGGTAGACCTCAAAGGCAGAAGTGTACTTAATGATTGATTTACGTCAAGAAATCGCGATCTCTTTGTCTGAAAGATCCGGCTCTGTGGCGCATGTGCCAAAAGAAGGAATGCCTCATTCAGCAAATGCTCATCGACTGAAGAAGGTCACTTTGGCTGCTGTGAAAGTGAATTACTAATTCAAAAGGCAATCGATGAATTTTGTTGTCTTGATTGAGCTAACGGAATTTCGGCTGTAACAAATTAATATGTAAAGAAGTGCGATTTTGTGTTCTCTGTTGTAGTCGTCGTCTGAAATGATGTATAAGCCATAATGTTAATTACCTTCGGAAGAACGTTTCAAATGCTGCAATGTAATGTTCGAAAATCTTAGCAAAAAATATCATGGGGCTGTTTTTTTCTGATTTCTGTATGCCACAGAGTCAGTGCTTATCATAGTCATTTTTTGTCACCAAGAATTTTTTCATATATTCGTACAGATCTTGATATATTTTAATGATGTTTGCCTATTTTTTGTTGCTGCCACATGTGTTGTATATTAGGTGTTAGGACTCTTTGTTTGACGTTAATGGATGTCGTGATAAGTGAGTTTACATATTGACGTAGTCAGTGTCTGATCTTTTCCAGCAGCGTGACTTGACCTATATTTCAATAGCATGAGAACGGATACCCAAAAAAGTCAGTTTGTTTTCAATGTCGGGAGTTTAAATGCGGCACAAAAAAAGTTGTTTATTTTAACGTCTGTGCATTTAACATGCAGGGTGACAGACTAATGACAATGTTTCAGCCCATATCGATTAAGGTTGACAGATGTCATAAACGAGCGAATAATCTCAAAAAGCCCGGTAGTGCGGTGAGGGAACAGTTCAGCATTCACTGCCTTATATCCAAGATTGCAGGAAGCGATCAAAGGATGCCTGAAAGCCATGTTAGGTTTGCCAAAATGCTGATACCGCTTCAAGAAACTGTTAAACGCGCGCCAAAAGGATGGTTAACGGAGACAGTGTTGCTAAGGCCAAAATTAAAACAGGCGCTTTTAAAGAAAACGGTGGTCATGAAACTTCGTACAAATGCCTAATAACGTAGGTGCAGCGAAAATTGTCCGTTTGTAACAGCAGCTTCTTGATGCAATTGCTATTATTAATTTATTGTGGAAATGGCTTGTATTTAATTTGCAGCACAGTATGAATGTCACATCTAAGCGAGTTGGTGCTTTAAACGTGACGATAAGCTACATCGTCAAATTAACAGTATAACGTTTCTCTCAGGGGTTCTAAAGCAATCAGATGAAGAAAGAAAGCTGATTGTAAGGGTGGTGTACTCATTTCTGTGCTAAATGTTCAGTAAATTAAAAATGACAAGTAAATTTCACCTATTTTCTGATTGCCTCATTGTAAAAGGGGTAATTCATGAGGAAATGAGAACGGAAATTTTTTTTTGTTTTTTTTT